TTGTAACACCTTTTTATATACATTCATCTGTATGACAATAATGGCATATGGTGCTTGATATAGTACATGTACTACTAAAAATATTTTACTGCCATTCAATGAACAGCCAATCAGAATGGCTCTGTATCATGTGATCACTTTGAACGAATTACAGGGATCACAGAAAAAAATGCTCCTTGGTACAGTGAGAAAGGCAGCACCAGTGATACAAGAGGTCCCACCAATAATGAAGTGGATGGGTGGGGGGGTTAAATGGCACAGCCAGGTCACTATCTGCAAGGAGTTTGCATGTTTTCCCTGTGCTTGTGTGGGATTCCTCCGGGTACCCTGGTTTCCTCCCGCACTCCAAAGACATGCTGGAAGGTTTACTGGCTCCTGTCTAAATTGGCCCCAGTATTCGCTACTGCAGAGTTTGAGTACAATCATCACCTCTATATAACATTCAAACATTCATACTTAATTGCATTTAAAATAAAACAGATCATAGTCCTAGTCTTCATGCATAACATTGAATACTGGGGGTATTGCACAGCTGTGTCAAAAGAAACAATCGAACTTTATTACCATTCTGCAACAACAACAAAATAACCGCACAGTATTGTATATTGTATGTTATTAATAATGATTGTCAGTGCTGTGGTCATGCTGTATCTGTACCATTGTTCATAATTTCCTCAGGTTCTCTTCCTAAAAAAGAATTAATACTAAAAAATGATGGTACAGGCAGGAGGAGAGGTGACCATTCCATGTCTTCTATACAGAAAGAAATTTGAAGCTTGATTATAGCAAGAGTCTTTTTAAATGTGTTAAAAGGCATTGTTCTAAAGCCTGACTGAACTAATAATGATCCACATCTATTTGCCAAAAAGTAAAAACATAGGAGACGAATAAATATCAATTTAATTACTGAGCCATTCCAGGCAACAGGTAAAATAAATGAACTCCTAGAGCTTTCCATGAGACACAAAATCTGAGCTAAATATAAAAAGACCATCCGAATTGCCATCAAAGTAAGTTGTTTTTTATGGTCTGTTAGATTTGCCAAGCTTCTTCTCACAGTACTGCAGCCACTTTTCACCTTAGCCTATGATGAGTAACCTGTCATTGTGAGAACTACGGTTGCATTGGCCTGTGAAACATGGCATCCTGCTCTTTTCTGAAGGGTGATATTCAGGGCTATCCAGAAAACAAAGATAGCTGGTAATCACAAATAGTTAGCTAGTAGGAGAGCCAGATGTAGAAATAAACTGAATGAAAATTATATATATTCAATTAACAGACTATGTGGTTGATTTACTAAAGGCAAAAAGGTTGTTCACTTTGCAAGGGAAGTTTCAAGTTGCAAGGGAATGTTCCCTTAGCTTAGTGAATGTGGTGAAACTCTGCTAATGTCCATCATCCAATAACTGTATGTGCAAGAAAAATGTTTTTTTAATTTTACTCTTACATTGGTGGGTATCTCTGCAGAGTGATTTTTTTAACCACTCTGCTAAGCTAAGGGAATGTTTTCTTGCAAAGTGAAAATTTAACAGTCTATTTGCCTTTAGTAAATGAACCCCCGTGTCTTCTGAGTTAAAAGAAGAAAGGATTAATAAAGAGTTTAGAGAAGAAAGGGTAAATAATAATTGTCCTTGGAGTTCTGCTTGAAATACAAATGGAATACACTTTTAGGAGTATGGGTAGCTATAATTCAAAGCCAATACCATTAGAAACATCTAACATTTACCTTTATCTTCAGAAGTAAACATATATGTGAAAATGTAATTAGGATTTACTGAATTTGCATTCACAATGCAGTTTACGTTTTAGGGTAAGTCATGGCTCTGAATCATGCTAATATAAAACACACTTAATAAAACCCACATAGGCCACATACAAACAATTCTCAAGCATAACAGAAGGGACATGACTTATATCACATCCTCAAATTTTCTGGATGAAGCTCAAAGCTTTCAATGAATGCAGTGTTAAAACAATTGCTATGCATCAATAGCACTGCAGCTGAACATTAATTAAACATGTTCCTAAAAAAAATATAATCCGCTAAACCCTTACATTGACACTACTTCAAAGGCACTGGTGCAAGAACTTTCTAATCTCCTTTTAATTGAAGCTCACTTTATACATTCGTAGACAGTGTAGAGTGGAGAAATACACCATATTTTGCAATCTTATGTTTATCTGAAAATTCTGTTTGTACCCAATCCCAGAAAGAAGAGTGTTGACTAGTTAATGATAAGGAATGACCCGGTCACCTTTAGTTGACAGTGTCTCCATATGCAACTTTAGAGCTTGAAATGGTAATGATACAGATGATGAGGTCATCAATGTTAAAGCAGCACTTCAGGATGTGCTCAGTGCTCACCTCTCTCTCTCCCTCCACTCTGGCTGTGCTATGTCCCTCAGTGTCCTCACATATAAACCAAGTGACTGGACCTTGCATTAGACATGACGACAGGTCCATAGACCGCCAGGGCATGGGGGAGGAGAGGCTGTGGGGACTAGCGATAATACTATTATGTTGCGCTTGGTATGGACAATCTTCTAAATCCAACACCACCATATATATGTGAGTGAATTAATGAGTAACCTGTGTGATACTTGATTAGATATGGTGATTAGTAGGGATGCACCGATACCGATATTAGTATCGGTATCGGTGCCGATACCGAGTATTTGGGTGAGTACTCGTACTCGCCCAAATGCTCCGATACCTAGCACGAGTACTTCCTGTATCAGAAAGCCGGGCAGCACATCAATGCACGCTGCTCGGTTTCCTGATTGGCCAGGAAACGGCTCCATGCTCTCTCGTCACTTGTGATGAGAGAGCATGGAGCTGACTTCCCGGCCAATCAGGAAGCTGGGTAGCATGTAATGATGCAGCGCCCGGCATTCTGATTGGCCGGGAAGCCGGCGTCAGGCTCCCTCGTCATCTCATGAATCATAATATTAAGAAAGTGACCTTAAAGCATTAGTTTGTATTGCTTTAGAAAAAATGTGA